CCCCCCCCCGTTTTCCGTAGGTGCTTTATCGCCACAATAATTCCATCCTTCTTTAACAAACAAATTCACCTTCTTTCATATCTCGTACAATTATCTCCTGTTATTGATTTTTTTGTATTCTATTGTTGTTTCAATGAAATCGCTGCATTCTCCCACTGTTTTTGCCATTCGCCCATTCCCATGTTACTTTAGATCGGCATCATTCCATATATGTAGTTAAGCACTGCGATAATTTTTGACTTTGACTCTATTACCTGTTTATTCCTGTAAAAGACATTACTTCGCATTCATATTCTGCTTCAGAAATAGACTTATATAGTAATGATTTGCATCCCTCATTCAACTTTGTCATGAACTGGTCCTCTAAAGTTAAACTGAATATGATATGAGAAGTTGGACAAATTATACAATGGACTGAATAACACTTTGAAGACAATTATAAAGTCTAACGATGCATACGCATAAGGAACTCACGCAAAAGTATTAAATACAATCATAATAAAAACATTTCATGACAATGAATCAAAATACGAAATTGTCAGTTTTACCTTCACCTCCCAAAGAGAAGATTCGAGAGCACGTGACTCGGCCATATTGTTTTCATTAAAGATATACGGATCGCTGTCGGCTAAAATCGTTCAAAAACACATTGGTGTATTAATAGTCATAATGTACCCTGTTTGAACTGAGCATAAAATGGCATGACGTTCGGGTGCCGGACAAGCCAGTTTTGGATAAGTTGCAAAATGATCATCAACGACCCAACAGGTGAGAACAACAGCAGACGGCTGAAGCGTTTGATGAATGAAGCAACAACATAAGCAGGGAGATGGCTGAAAACCGAGCAGTCTAATTTTATGAAAAAAAACATCGAAATAAGGACGCATGACGCCATCATAATATGATGCATTACCAGTCTAAGATCCGAGAAACAGTAACATGACATACAAGTTCGCCTGTCGTACATCATTCGCCTTTTGGACATGAAAAGTACTATTTACCTAGCATTTCTTAATGCACAGTATAAAGGACCATCCAGAACTTCCATTGAGGTCGCTCTCTTTGTCTGTCTCTTTAAGAGCGCATTTTAGCATGATGTTTTGAGATTGGGTACGAAGGTGAGCCTAAGATTTCAGTCGAATCACGGCCAGAGGAGTAAAATACAATAATGAACTGCGAATACCAACATTCATACCTCTCCAACTCAAATGACAAATAGAATTAGTGTAGAGCCCATTTTTATTCTCGACCAGAAAAAAGGCATGTAGGCACAGTCTGACAATCATGCTGTGTGCAAAATGCAGATGAGCGAAAGAAAATCAACGAAGGGCGGAAAGAAAATCATCCGTTTCAATAAGAATAACGTAGATCATGAAACTATTTCAGCATGGAAACGAAGAAAAAATCATAAAAATCTTGTTTTCATTTAAACCTACCCTTAATCTTTGTGCTGATCTTTAGCCAGCCATCAAGAAGGTCGAGACGAATTGCGAGTGTATACACAGTCAATCGGTCAAAATCGATAACTGATGATCCTTTCTACGGAAGTAAACGGAGCAGAAACATCTAAACGATTCTCACCCTGCGTCAGTATTTAAGCTTCGGCAGAAGATAGCCTAAACCAGGAGCAGAGTCCTTTGATACTCCCACCCCGAATTATTTTTCGTAGTCCACGGGGTCTTTGGTCAGTTAGCGGGGAAGCAGTAGCTGTTTCATATTTGTTACCGAAAACATTCACATGACGTGCTAAAACTATCGCGGCTGTGGCTTCTCAATCGTTAGAGACAGCGACAGTGCACTAAGGCTCTTCTGTATCTGTGTACTACTAAACATGTCGAGAAGCGTTAGCCAAGCGATGTGTCTTAGAAAGTCGACTTCAGTTGCTTGTACCCGTGATCGAAACTTTTCAGTCATGAATCACGACTCGTCAGAGTAAGTGAGCACTGATATGAAGAACGATTTTGAACACAGGGAGCTCAGTCTTCTGACCCAGCTCTGCTTTATTCACAATGGTCCAGGAGAGTTAAAGCAAAACGCCGCTGGCCATTCCAATTCGCCGATCAATCCCTTTCTCCCACCAGTAAAAACAAGTATGAGGGATGTGAACATTCCACCTATTACACCGTTTCTGCATTTGCATGCAGAGCGTGACAAGTGGCAAAACGAGAAAGCACACGTTAACACTCATGCCGGACACGTCGCACTCGGCTGCGAACCTTTCCAGCAAACACCGAAATAATTGTACTGTTATTAAATTACACAGTCAAAAAAATT